GCATGCGCATGCGCTTTCACCTCATTGCATAGTGTTTAGAGGTAAGATGATGCCTTAGAAGCGTAAGACAATAAGCAGAAGCATGCTCAAAGTTTGACTCTACAAGTCATTTATCTGCAAAAGTAGGTCAGTAAATTTTTTAAAAGTCATGAAAAACAAAGGGTATATTTAGCGCCTTTTAATCCCCTTCTCCGTCATCTGTTGATCCATGACATTTAAATGAAACCATTTTGCTAAAGGGCTTCCACTACTTGCCATTCTTGATTAAAGAAAGTGCGAACAAGTTGTATCATCACTCACGCTGGGCACCACCGAAAGTCCTTCTTGAGACGTTAATCAAGATCTAAATTGTAGAGAGGGTTTTCCCTCACATGATGTCAGAACCGAATTATAGACGGCATGCTCCACTATGCCATACTGTACTTTCACAACTTCCCAAGCGGTTCAAATCGAATCCTTCACTTCTATTTCTTGGCGTCATGAAAAATTATATATCGGGCTTACCACTATGTAAAATGATTGATTTTACCTTGGAAGGGGTCATCCTGGAAGGCAGAGATGTTAATCAAGAAGAGGCCTACCTCAAAGCCACGCGAGAAGCCAATCAGAAGTTGACTGAACTCACTTCAAGTGAAATATCCAAGGTCACCCTGAAATTAATCACAAAGCACATTGAAGAGGGCAATGCCTTCCAATCATCAGCTGCAGGTTCGTTTGGTTCCTTGAAAAGTCATTCTACTCCTTAAAAGCTACTATCTAGTAGAAGTTAGCCAGTAACTTATTTTGATTCTTCTTATAAGGGACAATTAAAGGGATTTTATAAAGCAATAGTTTAAAATTGTTTCTGCTTTTGCTTAGTTTTGCCGAAGTCACAAAAAGTAGACAAACATTTTTTCCTTTTTTGAGCCAATAAATTGCGATGTCAAAATGAATGCATTTTTTCGCCTCTCCAAAATTAATAAACTCCTGGAAGCAATACTATCTCGCTTTCTCAGAATACTTCTTTCTGAGAAGGAATTGCGTATATCTGACAGCCAAGTCCATAAAGACACACCTCACTTTTCTATATTCACAGTTTAAAACAGGTAAAAGCAATTACCATGACGGTTAATTTGGGGGGACTTTGCGACACCTTCTATCAATGCCAAATTCTTTTAAGACAAATAATACGTTTAAAATGGGGTATTTTCGCTTTTAACTACCAAAGTAAACGAAGTATTTCGCAAAAGTGTTAATTTTAAAAAGCCTCTATTAATGCTGACTCACATTGGCACTCAACAAATTAGGAGAAGAGGCAATAACGCTTCCCATTTTCTGCCTTCCTCCCCCCAAAAAAGCATTCGACTACTTTATCCCTTAGGGACTCGGGATAAAATGACCATTTGGAATTTTGGCGACGCCATCTCCTTCACCCAGGAAAACTTAGGAAATTGAGACAACATTGATACGTCTCCAGGTTATTTGAAGCAATAGGCAAGAAATGATATTGCCTGCCAAGATTAGCACAAAATAAGCGTTTTATTAAAGGCTAAGGTAAACAAATTTGTGCTTTGGAGGAATCTTTAAGGTTTGAATATTATCGAAATATCAGAGGACTATGTCTACAGATGTAGGTGGAAAATATAGAGACGGACTTTTGGCTAAACAAATCTCTGTAACTTGGGTATTGTCATGAAGTCGGAAGGCCAGGACAACAGTTAAAGGCATCAATCGTGAAGAAAAATCCATACCCCTTAAATATTGTCGTGACGTAAGAATTTCACGTCATTAGGTGAAGGTGGTAATCACAGAGACTAGATGCCCTCCCTAAGCAACTGTCGGTCGAACCAAATATATTGCTGTTGCAGAGCAACTGACATTCCTAAGTGCTTGATCTCCTTGCAACGAACTTGTAAACAATTTAAAATATCTAACCGACTACTTGTTTTAGGCAAACATGAAGAGAAAATTAAGGGTCTTCTTCAAAATTGTGCATTTTGATCTTGGATTTAGCTAATTAAATTGATTAAGAATGGGCCAATCATATTACTTGAATATATGTTTCAACATTGTCTTTTAAAAAAGTACATTTTGACTATTTGTAGATTTATTAGGCTTTCTCAAAAGCTCAAAGGTCATAAAAAATTGCCACAATACCTATTATTTTGCCTAAATTTTCGGCCAGCCAAGTTGCGCAGAACTTTTAATCAGGGCTATGCATGAGGTTGCCATCTCGCAAAAATCTGAGGCTTCTTTGATTTTTTTATATTCTAAGGTTGAAACTTAATGTAAGAAACTAATTCCAGCGGAATGGATAAATTTTACAAAAATGAGCCAAATTCTAGTTGAATAAGGTCACAGTTGGGTAAATCAAGGCAGGGTTTTTTAAACAAAGAATCCCACCCAACTTTAATAGCTTGTCTTGGTACTCCTCCACTTGCCTCCTTTTATGATGACGTCAAAATTACAAGGCAGGTTAGTACTTTTCTATACGAAAATGTCAAAATCAAATACATACCTTTTGAAGACGATTGAATATTCATCGGTCTGCTGTAGGTGCTTTCTTATCCAGATATCTTAGAATCAGAAGAAATATCTTGAGAAGTGAAGCTTATACACTTACTGGCAAAAACACTGTTTACAAATAAAGTTAAATCCGAGACTTTAACTTTGGCTCGCACAAGATATTGAAAACAGTAGACACATTCATAACTGCCATGGTGTCAGTCGGCGAAATTGTGGGTGCCGGCGAATCAGGCATAGCGACGGGCGGGTAATAACTCTAATCCCCGTATCAATAAAAAGCAGGTGGGCTGTTGAAAAATGCGAATAGTGTCAGGACTGACGCGGTCGCCTTCTAGAGTGACCTAGGGCAGCACAAATAGGTATTTTTCTTGAAGAACTCTAAGTGTCAAATCCACCTGTCATAACAAAGAAAATCACCCTCCTTATTCTAGGCGCTTTATCGCTCCGACATGACAATTTGTGCCAAGATCATTATATTTGCTTTTTAAACATGATCTGTTTTTTATGACGTAATTTGTGACTCCAAGATCAACAAATCGTCGCTGTACAAAACTTAAATCGTTAAGGACATAAACTTGTTTTTCTTTCAACTTTATTGTTTGCAAAAGGGATTTTTTTTATCTTCGAATTTACTTTATCCTTATAAATTTCGTGGACTGAATTTTTGCTTCCGTGAATGGGGTCCAAAATGCGGATGCATATTTGCTGTCACATTCATTTGCGATATTTTTGTGAAAATAAGTGATAGCTGCAATAAGTAGAGACAAAAGATGCCATAAGGCTAGATCTCACACTGCAAAATTTTGCTGTAAGAAGACTTCTACTTTAGAATGGTACAGAAGGGAGATACTGTCTGTTTTGAACTGGTATTCGCGTAAACATAGGCAGTGTCGAGATCCCACTCACAAGATTTCACTTCGGACGTCTTCTACGCCGACACGTCTGGGTATGTTTTGAGTAGTATGTGCGTACATTTAAGCCAGTGATAAGTAGTTAGCCTCATTCTCAGCTCATTCACAGGACTTTCATCGGCCTCGAACCTGTAGCGGATATTAATACATTTAAAGTATCTCCTCACTACATCGACCAATCGGAAGGTAGTCAGTGAGAGCGCTAACTGCAGAGCGGTCTTGGAAACTACGAGAAAAGAAGAACTTGTATCAACCTGTAGGATTACAAAATAAGAACGCTATTTCTGGGGTTGTATACGTCCAAAACACCACTTTATCCTTCTTATTTCACTGATGCTCTCCAAGAGCTGATTACCACTTTTCTCGGCACTTGACGGGCATAAATAAAACGTTTATGGATTCGCCAATTTATCTGTAGCTCAGTCAGTTTGCTAACCAAACAGCCAACTAGACTTTTAGGAAACGATCTAAGCAGGCTTGAAGGAGTGAAAAACAAATTCATATTTCTTCGAACCTCATATCCATCACCTGTTTTAATGTATTTCATTAGAAGTGTAGTCCATTGAGCTAGCTTCCACTTTCTTGAAATCCCTACTTTTGTGGTTGGTGGAGGTGCCAAGGGAGTGTTATACCAATTACGTTAATTATTGCCAGCGGCTGTTCTTCACACACCAATTTCTCTACTATTGTATCAGAAGGGGCAGATACTTCGCTATTAGCGAACGGAAATTGAGCATGTTGTCGAACTTGATGCATGTACCAATATTCAGTTCCTTGTTCAAGTCCATTCTGGGAAGTGCATTCTGCTCTTCCATGCTAAACCGCCTCTAAATACCATGCAGCAAATATTTGCAAGAATCTTCTTCAACTTTAGCACTGATTTAAGTGTAAGTTGTTCAACAGGCAGAACTAAAGTACATCCACGAGGTCTAGTCAATACCTTGCCATTTGCTGATTCATAATTTGTAGAGAATCGCAGAGACAATGCTCAAGAGTACCTCAGGGACTACCCACATCAATGGTTTACAATGAACATAAACAAATGAAAACGCTTAAAAAGTCGTTGCCAAAACGCACAGTCTGTTCATTTTTTATGAAAAATACGTCCTCTCCATCCAAATAGGCCGATAATAAACAGCATACAGCAACTCTAACATTCCTTTCTAAAAAACCATGCCTTGGGGTTACAAAACGGTCAGTAATCCGCCCGTTCATTCACATATCCACCCATTCACGGACTTGTCAGTCCCTCCATTCATGCCATCACTAGCATTGGGACTTGTCCCATAAATCATACGTCGATTGTGCTTTTACTAGAGTTAGTACTCAAAACCAAGATCATGTATGTAGCGGACTTGATACTTTTTCCTATCTTACCCCCTATAGCCTGCTCATTGATCTCATCTGGGGTCGTGGCTATCTTCTGCCCAGACAGTCGGTCGGCAGCGCATGCAGCAATGCGGGTGTGTCAGCAGAACGCCATTCCGTGTCTCACTGCTCAGTGGGATGCCAATCTTGGCACCAATGCTGCCTTCAACGTCACCATCAACCTACATCCCACGGTGGAGGATGTGGGGAGCACTTTGGTCAGCTTTCTGCATGAAGCACAGGGCTGGCAGGAGCTTGGACTCATCTATGCCCACGATGACAGTGAGTTGAAGACACCTTCGTTTCAACTTCTACTTCCCTGCAACTGTTCTATGGGTTTCAAATGTGGTGATGGTGTTCACTTCTTTAGTTTCAGGAATCTACCTTGATTCCCTCAATAAAAATTCACTTAATAAAGAAGACTTCAAAGGATGAGATACGAACTTGGCTTTTAAGGCTAAAATTAACTTAAAACAAGACTTTACCACCAACTTCACAAGGGGGTGTGGTGATTCAAATGTAAGTTACGAAGACCCCACAGTCTGAAAGACCTTTCAAAAACATTTTGACACTTTGTTCTACTCAAATTTACCAATCAAAATGTGTCATTTAAGGCTGAAATTTCATCCCCAGTTTTTTTTAGATTTTTGAGTATATTAATTTAATATTAAGAATTAGGCGAAAGTATTTTAGAGACTTTAAAGGCATTTGCAGTAACTGATTGAGGATGCAAAGCAATTTAAAGTAAATTAATGAAATATGGGATAAGTCAATGTTGTTGCGGTTAAGATAAAATTGATGGGGTGGTTTATACTCTGACTCGCCTCAGTGATAATTTGTAAATATACACGATAAAATGGAGGGCCGCATCATCCTATTGGTACAGAGTTGGGTGTCTTGGTATTAAGTACACTATAGTGTGAAATGGACTTCATGGTTGAGGGTTGAGGCCACCTACTTCACAAATTGGGGCTCAATTTCAGGAGACATTCAATAGAAAGTAGCAAAGCGCACCTCTCAGAGGGGCTTTGAATAGGTAATCGGGTACTGGTGATGAGTTATTCAAAGACAGATAGGTAGATCACTTTAAACAAGATACTCAACTTCTTAAAGCAATTGAAGAATTGTCTGTCGCTAATGATATATTAATTCGCGACTGGAGCGTGAAAGACAGTCATTGCCAATGGTTAACGTTGTTGACGAGACACATCCTTGACACCTTCGCCAACCAGGAATATCTAACTTCCAAAAAAGTGAAAGCTAGGTTAATGGATGTCTTCTACATAAAATAAGTTAAAAACAGGTGATAGACATGAGGCTTGGAGGGCTACAAATTTGTCCTTCACTCCTTCAAGCCTGTTCAATCGTTTGTTGGCTGGCGTGTTATTTGCATTGCGAAGTTTGTTAGACAAATGGATGCATTACTGGTTATCTCCAAATGTTCCACTCGCCACTCAGTAAAACATATCTGAAAAAGATCTTTTCGATTGCAGAAGACGGTGCCTGCCCCTGTGTGTGTGCGGTGAAATGTGAGCACAGTAACCCACAGCGACATTTTCACTTAGCGAAGGTCAAATAGTTATGGCTGGAATGTTTATGCATATCTGGTGAGTATGGAAGTGGGAAAACCTAGACCTTTGAAAACACGCACAATGATGACACGTCAGTGTATGTAGAGGAAGATGCCTTCCCATTCTCGGAGGTCAATTAACAGCTCATATTCACATTACGCAACAGGCCCATGAGAAAGTAACACACCGTAGTTAGGGATGGGAAGCAGAGAGAAGTGTGAATGGAAGAGAATGAGATATGACCCCAATTTATCACATCCTCTTTATCCTCGACATGATACTCCTCCAAGTGCTGATCATCACCTATTCATGGCAAAAGAATTTGACAACCGAATACGAAAGTGACAGATGGGAAATGGGCATGAGATGGCAATGGAGATGTCCGTGCCTGAATTGTTAATTTCGAGAGACAATATGCTTTATGCAAATGGTAATAGCGGGTGTGCCGGTTGGGGGACAGATTATTTCAGCAAATATAATGTACAAACCTACTCTTACAATTGTTGAAAATCATTTCCCCAACCTATGCTGCTTGATTTTGGCAATCACATTGTGCTCTTCATGTTCAACACTAAGTTAAAAATCTCCCCAGAATTCACGCTTAGGTGTAGAGAGAAACGTTGACCTTGAGAATCTACTATGAACTTTGACCCAATATTGAATTTTCCGCAATATTTAATTTGATTTTCTGCATTGTTCATCCTAGATTAGCGACCATACACAGTGGTAGAGCAAGTGATAAATTGGAGCACAAAGTCTACAAATCGCGAAAAAAGCCAAATTTTCTTTGTTGGTGGTTAGAAAATACACGTGCTTGTAGACGTCCAAATTTTGGAATAGTATGTGAAATTCTTAAAATGTTACTTATTATCAAAGTGGGTATTCAGACCTTTTCGTAAGTGAAAATGGGCATTTCCTTTTCCCTATTGTTTTAAGGCAAAAAATTCCTTTGTTAATCTAGGCTATAAAATAGCAAATTCGCAAGGAGAAATATGGATCGCCTTCAAAATTTCCCACGATAGTCGTTTCTTTGCCGTAAAGATGCCCACAAAGTTATGAAAGAGGTTCTTTTACACCATGTATTTCGTGAGTAGATGGCATGTCCTTGAAAAACGAGTTCACCGAGGCTGTTCTCATTGTGACAGCCAGGTACCCACACTTCACAGCTGTCGCCTATCCGGAAAATAAGTAGCTAGGTGTTCGTAATGATTTGATGGATGCATTGCGCTGCATCTGCGACATTCAGAGGTAAAAAGGAGGAAATATAAAGTGATGCCTCATTACAAAAGGGATCAGTTAACGTTCTGGCTCTTGACAAATCAAATAAGGTGCATTTTATTTAAATAGGACAGTTTAAAACCAATGATAGCGTGATTGACTTTATCAGATGGTGGTTATGTATTTGACAGCTTCCTCACGAGAGCGATAAATTCGTGTGTTTCAGCAAAGGTGTATCACTCAATTTTTTGCTGGAATTTGTCGGCCTCTTTTAGAACAGTGAATCGAGGACAGAATATACTGCCTTTCATGTAGTGCTTCCCAACCTTCCTGAAGCCGCAATAAGTCAAGCCAATACGGGTGACGGGTTTTTATTCCCGTCTCTACGGTACAGCCGCCTTAATGACTTTCGTGGTTAAAAGCGAAATTAAAACGGATGGCTTATTATTAAAGAAAAAAATAGCTAACGCATTCATCAGAGTTATAATGCATTTACCATTTTAATAAAGTTGTAAAAATAAAAACATTGATAGAAGTGATTCAAAGCGTACATCGTAGCCGCAATTATGTCCAATAATACACAAAAGTGGAAAAATCACAGCCCCAATTCGGTCACAAAATGCTCACAAATACTAACCACATTTTGGCTATCCACCAAAATTAAGCACTTTTTGTGCTTGACTTCCAGGAGGTTTAAACCTAATTGCTTGATCGCCAACTCGTGCACCTATTTGTTATAGAGCTGCAAGAGTGTATCTACGTAGAATCCGCATGTTTTCGAAATCGTGTGTGCACATATTTGTGCGATTCAGAGTTTGAAAGTTTTCCAAAATCAGGAACATTGACGTTATTTACTCTCTGCCCCTGATATTTTTTTCAAGTTTAAGGATTTCAAATCCTTATTCAAAATATATTTATCTACTTATTCAATGGTTTAGCAATGGAAGAGATGTTATTGTTTTGGCAACGCAAGCTAGTAAAAGTGCTTTCAAATTTCGAGTCAGATTATAAGTAGTCATAAAAGTACTTTAAAAGGATAAATTAAAAGGGCAAGAAGGTGGTGAAGATGGGATAATTCCACTAGGGTTTATGGCTTGTGCCCAGTTTGAATAAACTTTGTTTAGTCTATCCGTCACATTGGAGGTTGCCCGAACATTAACACCGTTGAAAAAGTTAATCACCTGACAATAAGGCTTTGCTAGTCTTATAGTTCGTTGCAGAGTAATTTTGTTAGCTAATGCGAAATGGGTAAATTTTTGTCTTCACACTATGAGTCCTTCTTCATCTTCGAGTCAGCAGACTAAATTCTATCACTATTTTTTACACCGGATTGATGCTTTCTGAACAGCCGCCTTGGAGGTAGAGTTATTGACCATTTGACAGCTGCATAGAAAACACCTGACATAAGCCTTAGAGAATGTGAGTCGGTGGCACACAGTCAGATCAAACGTCCAGATTAAATTATTTAATAACCTTTGATTATGACTTTTCTGTCTTATGATGTTTAGGATAGTTCCGGGAGTTTTTTTATAGAAGAGCATTAAGTAACCACAAAAAAGTTCTTTAAATAATTTTTTGTCAAAAATACTACCCCGTCATTTAAAAATTCTTTCTCAGAGGCAAAAGGTTGCAGATTCTACTTTTGTAATTTTTTTTACTTTTGGGATAAAAACATGCCTTAGTCATCTTCCCTATTTTTTATTTTGAATGTGATCATATAACTGTTGGAGATAATAAAAAAGTGGTAATCGCTTGGAGGAATATCGTTCGGGGAGTAAGGAGGCCGAGACAATTTCTTTCCTCATCCTAGTGTGATAAATGAGGCCTTCCCTTGGGTTCACATTGTAGTCATATGAGCTCTTGCTTTGCTCCATTTTGACGGGTAAAGAGACTTTCCCGATTTAGATTTATAGAAGAAAAAGGAAGTCCTTCAAAAACTTTTGAATTTTATTATGGATTTTAGCTGCACTTGTTTGGGTCTAACCAGACAAACAATTTATTTACTATAGACAATCATATACAATAAGCGGCTCAAATTTACAACGAGCCACTCAAGTAATTTCTGCCAAAAACTGCACGAACTGACAGTTTAAAGGTCTTTCTCTATTACTAGCCGTCGTAAATGCCATTGATTGGACAAATGGGGCTCTCCATCCTTTACATCCATATCTTGAAGTTCCTAAAAGGCTTAGTCATTCCACACGAAAAGGTGGGATTTCACACCTAGCATGCACAAATTTCCTGTCCATTACAATTAACATATAATGAAGTGGAGTTCTCTCCTGTCCAATTCAATTGACGCACACACTACACAGCAATTTTGCTTCCGGCAGGCAATTCATGTGCCAAACTACAGGAACAGCTGGCTTTTTTGACAAACATTGACGTATAACTCGATTTGGCACGACTAATTCCATTTTCGCAGTCGTCATTTGACATTATGACAAGAAATATAAATTTTTGCTATTTCAGGAAGAATTGGTGGAAATGGAGACATTCAAACTGCCATGAAGTTTGCAGCACCTTGAACTGATTTTTTTCATTTAAAAGTTGCATGGTTTTTCAAAAATATCTCCAAAATATCTCCCAAGACCATGAACCTTACTTTCACAAACCCTGAATTCCTGCTCTATTCCCTTTTTCAAATAAAAGGGTTTTTAGAGAAACAATCTCCAGCCAAATGCAACTTGAGGTCCTAAATACACTACTTTTGTTTCATAAATTATGCAAACAATTTATACGAATGTATCATTAAATAACTCTTATTTTAGTTCCAAGGCGAGAAGAGTTATGGACTTCTTTTGAAGTTGTGAAGTAACCAAAGCTGATTATAGGCTATAAGCAACTCTAAAATCCACATTTTTGTTGATTTCATGAGCTTTTACTCCGGTCTCCCCTCATATTCAGGTTTGATAAAATACAAGAGTCTCTTCTCCAACTTCCACGGTCGTCTGGTGGTTCGCAACTGGGACAACACTGATCTGACCCAAAAGTATATCATCAAGTACTTCATGACAACTCGCTCACAGAGTAAATTTGTGGTAGACATTCCAGCGGCAGAGATGGAGAAATTTTTAAAATTGGTAAGGGACCCCATTTCCTTGTGTTATTTTCCTGTAAACTTGAAACTTTCATTTATAAG